CCTTCTTTAAGAGCGTAAAATCAAAGTTCTAAAATCCCTTTTATCTAACTTAACTTTTATTCCTAAATACCTGAAACCTAAACAACTGAAACACCTAATCCTACGCCTTTTTGAAGGCACAGGCTCCAAGCCCCAAACTTCTCAAAACCAAAAGGAGGAGGCTTCCGTGCAAAGTCCAAAGCAGCCCTGAACCCAAGAGACCACACACTTGAACCGCCGAAGTTATGATCCTATGCAAAACCAGCCCTGCGCATGAAATCCAAAGTCCAGCAGAGCTTCCGAAAATATGAGAACCCTGCCAGAGGCCTGATCCCCCATTCTTTCAATGACTCCAACAACTCAACCGTTCTCTTACTGAGGATCACGCCCGCCATGCAGCATTGCCTGGAACTTGCAAGCCAGGCCCGGATTTGCGACATCAGGGACCACCATCACGTTGGCTTTCTGCCTTGGTGTTTGTAATTATCACTGCGGTCGTCGCAATCAATCAGCAGGAGTTCAGAAGCTAATTTTATAATAACATGGGCAGACTTGATTGATTGAAGCAACACCAGATTCAGAAAAGGTTTTGCTGGGGTTCTGACAGCGTTGTGGTCAAGGAGGCACCCAAAGCTTTGGCCTCATCGCGAAGTCTCTGTTCCTGCTTGGAACACTTCGGTGAAATGTAGATCTTCATATCCTTGAAGTCCACGCGGTCAGCACCACCGTGGCTAGAATTCAGTGCAACACCATTTGAAGGGCAGATGCAGTCAGTGAGTCAGAATCATGAGTCACATCAGTCACTGGGCAACATGACACATCTTATCTTGCTGCCTGAGAGCGCTTCACTGCATCCTCTCCTTGGGTTCCAGTGGCATGTGTAAACAAGTGTTTGTAAGAGAGACAGAGGAAGAAGACGGGTTCATGACGGATTTAGTATATTATGACTAGTACTACTAGTACTACTACTACTACTACTGCTACTACTACTGCTACTGCTACTGCTACTGCTACTGCTACTACTACTACTACTACTACTACTACTACTACTACTACTACTACTACTACTACTACTACTACTACTACTACTACTACTACTACTACTACTACTACTACTACCTACTACTAGGGCTGGGCTGACTGAATCATGATGAACATCCCACGGACTTCTGTCTTCTTTTCTATGCAGCAGACGCGACAGCATACACGAAAAACGGCCCCTGAATTTTCGCCGTGGTTTCCCCACCACCGGCTATGTTCTTGCATCCAGAATGCTCTCTGAAACTGGCTATCAAGGACGCTTCGATGAATGCTGCCGTCTCGCCGTGTTCTACAACAGCCAGAAGCCGCATGGTTGCAAAGGATCTCGGACTCTGGCGACAGTAAGCATGATCAGCATATCGCCAGCGTTGGGCTGGATCATATGTGAGACCAATCTTGTATGTAAGTGACAGCGAAATGAGGTTCTTAATGCGATCAACAGCATGACTGAGCACTTTGGAAGCCAGCTGGTTGGACGCACAGAATTCCAGCAAGATTTGAGGATCCTGAAGTATTGACCGCATCACAGCTTCAAGTCGGGGCAACCCTAGCAAAGCCGCTGGCACAAGCATCTTGTAGTAGTTTGCGCTGACCAGCTGCTGGCGCGTTCCAGCTATCATCACGAACGGAGCCTGTCTATCATCACTGGGACAGTCATCATGATATCGGCTCGCCGCCGATTGAAACCTTTCAAACTGCCTCTCAGTGCAAAACTGGGCATTGAACGCAATGGCTTGCTTCAATGATAGCTCTTCAGCATGTCCAGTGCAACACTCTTGCTCATACAGAAGCCTTTCCAGCGAATCCACCTCCATGCCATCACCAACATGATTGTTGTGCAGAGTCTTGACATTATTATTGTCAGCCTTCAGCTCAGATCGTTGGGTGCAAAGCTCCATAAGCCAATCATTGTCAGAGTCAGAGCCATCACTCGCCCCTTGCATACTAGGTCCCGGCATCAGCCCAACAGCTTCGGAGATAAATCAAGAAGCCGCTGTTCTTGCCAATCAACAGACATGGTGTAGTGCAGCCCAAGAAGACAGACATAATTACTAGTCTAGTTGCAGCTGAGGCTCGCTTTCGGATGGATAGCACATACTCATGCCGTCGCTTCTTCTCTGAAGACTCAAACTCTTTCAAGTCTTTCTGCAGCACTCGCTTCCCTTGGTCATCCTCAGGCTTCAAGTGCCCTCGTTTAAATGCCACAAGTTCCTTTTGCTTTAGCTTCCTCCTGTTGAACTCACGCTCCGCCGTGTGGCTCTTTGTCCAAAGCTTCTTGGAAAGGTTCTTCATCCACTGCGGCTGCTCCGAAGCCGCCTTGGACGAGGCCTCCCGGACAGCCTGCCTTCGCCTCTTGAGGAACGCTGTCTCATTCCTGTCGTTCTTTTTCGCTTTCTTCTTGCGTTTCCTCATGCACAGCCTCTTTGAGGACTCAGTTCAGAGAAGGACTAGAATGGATCTGTTAAGAGTTTTGCTGTTCTGCTGCAGATGACATGAGGAAGCTCAGAGGCAGACCTTTCGCGAAAAGCCATACATGTTTGCCTCTGCTACTTAACAACTCACGGAGCCTTGGAAACATGCACAGAACAAACTGGATCTTTCCAAGCTGCCCATTCCTTCTGCGCAAGGTCGATCAGCCTGGAGCCGACAAACATTTGGCGGGAAAGCTCAGTCTAGGGTTTAGGGTTTAGGGGCTAGGGTTTAGGGTTTTTTTTAGGGGTTTAGGGTTTAGGGGTTTAGGGTTTAGGGGTTTTGGGTTTAAGGTTTAGGGGTTAGGGGTTAAGGTTTAGGGTTTAAGGGGCCAGGGTTTAGGGGTTTAGGGTTTAGGGGTTTAGGGTTCAGGGTTTAGGCTTTAGGGTTTAAGGGGTTAGGGGTTTAGGGTTTAAGGGGTTAGGGGTTTAGGGTTCAGGGGTTTAGGGTTTAAGGGGTTTAGGGTTCAGGGTTTAGGCTTTAGGGTTTAGAGTTTAGGGTTTTAGGGTTTAGGCTTTAGGGTTTAGGGACCCTTCCGGTGGGTCGAAGACAAGCCTTTTGAACCCCCGAGAAAACCCCAATCCCCAGACCATGGACTAGGGTTTTACAGGTTTGTAGTACTAGGTAGGGAGGTTGATGTTGTGATGAGCATGATGAGGACTAAGTAAAATAACAAATTTCAGCTGGGTAACTCCTTGCGGTTCGCTTTCGGGAAGGACAGAGCCCGCAGCTCATCATTCACTAGGCCCTTGGTGGTCCGCCTTTTTTTCTGAAGCCACTTCGGAAACCTGAGCCATCCAATTGATTTGATGATTGAAGAAGAATAGAAAATAATATAAAGGGCTTCAGACTGAACAGGAACTCAGTTTAATTAATTTGGTAACTATGCCGCCAAATAGCAATTTAAAAAGAGCTAAGAGCCAAGCCACGTCCGCTCAACAGAACTCGTGCTGAAACCCCAGCCAAGAGCACGAAGCACCACCGCCTTAAGTTCCTGGACTTTGCGGCCCGCCTTGGCATCCTTCATAACCTCGGCTGTAGGTAAGGAATTGAGGGCAGCGAGCCAGCTAGGCTATGTAGTCACTTAGTCTAGTACTAACCTAATAAACCCCAAAGCCTAGCCCCAAACCCAAACCTTAGTAGTAGTGCTAAGTAACCTAAATAAATAAACCCCAAAGCCTAGCCCCAAACCCAAACCCAAAACCCCTAACGCCAGTCATCAAGCAAGACATCAAATGATTCAGTTGACGAGATGAGCTTCACACAAGACACCTGCGGGGACGTCTTCGGACGGAAGGACCTTGTGCATCCCCCTTCAAGACGCTTGTCACGGGAGAGATTCCCCTCGACGCTCAGTTCCTCCTATTGGAGTGCGTGGAAACGTCTGCACGGATCTCCAGTCGCACTCATCACGAGACACGTGCGTACCATGGAGGCAGACTTCGAGAGCGTGCTTGAACAAGAACTGGTCAACGGACTATTGGGGCCCCCCCCCTAAACCCTAAACCCCTAAACCCCTGAACCGTTCCACAACCCTGAAACGCATGAATATAAAAATATGTTGTCACCCCAAGAAGATAATTAGGGTTGCCCTAGGCCCCTTTGCCAGGTGGCCCCACCACTTATTATTATCGTCAACTCAATGTTTCGGTTTAATTTAAGTTAGATTTAAGGGTCACCACAGACATCACGAAACAAAGACCAACACCCTGAGTTGAAACCAAATTCTCCCCAACTCTAAGCCCGACACCGAAGTGGTCAATCTTATCAAGCCTCAACCCTAAAACCCTGAACCCTTTTAAAGCCCTATGATTATTTCTGTAAAACATCGAAACCCTACTTATGAATGATGAAACATAGACATCATCATCCTGAGACAGGCATTGTTGTTCTTGTGAAGTGTCCCTAAAAGAAGAAGACCCCATAATAATCCCAAAGCCATGCTAAATACACTGAAAAAACAATACCCTATTGCACGCCCGATGGCCCCACAGAAAACCATAATAATCCGCCAACCCTAACCCTGTAATGCCAAGTGGCTCGAATCATCAGTGGCCCCATTGATTAATCATTGTTTCTAGTCCATCTCCTCTTTATGGTTTATTTAGGGCTTGGGTTTATGAAGTCGTATTTCATTAATTAATTTATTAATTGGCTGGGACGTTTTATAATAAAGTACAATATAATCGTCTTACTTACTTATCCTAATTAATATAATCCCCGACCCCTAGCTAGCAGAATAACTAATGCTGCGCAAGTTGCTGCTTTTGCCCATGCATCCACGACAGGCACACTGCGCTGATTGTGGATGCCAGCTGCAAGTGGCTTCACATCTGCAACTTGCTCCAGGAGGCGAGCCTGGGGCTTAAATAAAGGTATAGCCGTATAGTCTAAGAATTCAAGAAACTTATATAACAACCATAACTTAATAATAACTTTAAATGACTAAGGTCAGCATAAGAAAGCCCATGAAGCAAAGCTCTAAAACAAGGTGACAATGGTCTCTGCTGCTAGGCAACAGGGCTCACATTCAGAAGGGCTGACATGGTTTCAGCTGGCTTCTTGAGGTCACGACTTGTTGTTGTGAAGGAAGAATCATCATCTTTTTCAGATGGGTTGCTCAGCTGCAAGAGGGAAGATATACTAGCAAAGGCTTCAAAATGTGGGAGCTCGGCTTTGATGACATCTTTGACAAGTTCAACCCAGTTGTGCATGCGGGCCAGAACTTCACGGAGCACCATGCCATTGCATTGCTCCGGCCCTCCCATGTTCCTCATCCTTCCATCTTCCTTCTGAACATGAAGGGGCTGCTTCTCCAACAAATTCCTAAGAACATGGTTGAATGCGAGCAGTCAGTGCAGCATTGGGAGCAAAGCTATTAACTGCAAAGTGCTACCCAAGGTTCTTCAAGTAGTGGCCATATGTTCCAGGTGTGTCCCATAGCCGGCCATGCGAGAATAAGAATGTAATCCTCGACACAAACCTGAGTGGATCTTTCAGCATGATCTCTTGGACATCTTTTGACACGTCATGAAGCCTAGATTGCATGCCCCAGTCACCAACAACTTTAGAAGATGAGTTACCGGAAGAGCTCCTCCTGAAGCATGACACCATCAACATTCTCCTCATCAGCCAGCCGCACAATAAGCATGTGCTCATCATGCGCATCGGCCAGGGCAGCCAACGTCCTCAGGCATGCTTGCAACACCAGGCAGCAACAATCAGCCACCAACAAGACCTTTGACACAGTCTCATAAATCCAAGCCCCGGACAGGGCCATGCGGATGTCGACCACGCAAAGCAGCTTGGCCATTGCCTTGCCCTCAACCTTGCCAACATTGGGAAGTTCGGGCTTGAGGGCTCGGGGGTTGTGCTGGTGCTTTCTTACAGCTTTTACAAAGAGCTTTGAGGGGACGAGGGGACGATCATTATTGTGAGCCTTGTTCCGCCTTTCCATTGCCACTTGCTCCACCAGCATCATGATGGCTGGGAAATGCCGCACAGTTCGTCCCAGGGGTGTTCGTAGTGATTCGTACCTGTTCTGTGAGGACATACACTTAAAAATAAAGCCAGCCTAATGCTGATTTCCCCCAGACCACCGGCCTGTGCTTTGCCGCACTCAGGGATGCAATGCCGATGCCGTCGTGCTGGAGGAGGCCCACAAAGCGTGCCTAGTAAAGTGTCACTACAGTAGTTGCCAATTACTTAGGGTCAAAGGCAGGGGGAGCAGAAGGGTTAATTAAGGCAGCAAGCGTAGTTGGGTCCATCCCAGGCTAGGGTTCTGACTGCGTTGGGTTGTTTTTTAATTTAGGGTTTAGGGCTTAGGGTTTAGGGGTATGCGTCAGGCCGCTGAAACCTTCGCCGCGGCTGCCGCGGGCTGCGGCTGAGTGGCCCTTAAATCTAACCCTAAGCCCCAAAACAAACCTTAAACTCCAACCCGAAACCACGGAACCTTAACCCTGACCCTGAGCCCAAAGCCCTAAATCCCAGACCCCAGATGATCGAGTCTCAGCCCCAGCTGAGGCCTCCAATTGATAAACCTTCCCCAGTCCTATACAAAACTTCAAGACAGAACACAAACTCCCAAACCCTTCTTAAACCCTGACCTTAATTAGCATGCCTTGAAGATCTCGCTGTTCGAAATGATCTGGCATGGCGAGTACCGAGATCTCACAAAAAGCTCCATCCTGGGGACCCAATCAATGCGAAGCAATATAATTGGTGATGGTATATAAATGTAAAAGTAATATATTCTTACAAAAAAAGATTATTCTTGTTGTCTTGCTCTTTCTTATACTTACATTATTAGACCTGAACAATGCAATCTGGAGTCGTCTTCTTCAGATATGGATCCGCAAAGCTTGTGCGGCTGGCCACACGTCGCATGCAATGCGCGATGTCTCGTGATGTGACTTTGAGGCCCGTAAACTTATCTCCTGGGCTGCTGTGGTGAAGTATGAGAAAACAACATAGTTATGCTTGTTTTACTGTCAGCCTCTTCATCATACAAACACATGTAAAACAACAAAAACAACAACTTGCCTCTGCACAAGCTGGTTTCCGCCAAACATGAAGTTGAGGGCCAGCTGTTCATCAGAAGCGCCATCCGCCACCATTGCTTCTATCTTGGGCAGCATTCTGGGCAACACCTTTGTCAACTGAGCTCGCTCTGCCTTGACTTTTGGCATTTTCTCCTTTGGACAGCCTAGCTCCAGCAGGGTTTGTTCCTTACTTCCGCAGGAAAATGCAAGGTTGTTCAAGTACAACTCCTTCTTTAAGTTAACTTTTTAAGCGGCATCCTAGCAAGTAAGGTGTTTGCAGCTTTTTAGTTATTAGTTATGGTGGCTGGGGGTTATTCATTTGAAGACTCGGGTATTATTATTATAGATTGTTTATTATTTATATTGAATGTGCATAAAATTATTCCCAGTATTAAGCAAGCTTCAGTCGCTGACCGCAATGCCAATGCATGAACATGCGACTTCTCCGCAGCGACGTGCGAAGCTCCAACAAAGCCCGTGCGATGCTGCAGTTGAGCATTCGCTGCAACGAAGCGCAGGACAAGCCAACCTTTGGAGACATCTTGTTGGATCGATATGCTTTCCGCCTCGTCCCTCAGTCAGTTCAGACAATGACAAGCAAGCAACATGGGGTCTGTAAGCAATTTTTCCAAGCCCAGGCTCAACCACAAGACCGTCAGCTTGCGGGCCGCTTCACCCAAGCAAGCCAGAAGACACCTCTTCTTGGACCGGCCAAATCCAGCCTCGGCTGAATAATGAAATCTTGAACTGATTCTGAACACTTCAACACATCATGCCCAGTCACTTCTAAAGGGCACGAGTAATCCGCATCATCAAGCTTCTGCAGTATCTTCTCAAACGTCCTTGCTCCGGGAACCTTGATTGTGATCTCACTTGTTTCCCTGAAGCCAAGAACTAGCACTTGCATGACTGCTGTTCGAAACGCTTAAATGCAGGTCCATCACCCGGTAGCCATTGACCTCAGCAAAGACAGTATCATCATCTTCTCCATCCACCGATAGTGCTGCCAGCCGATGAATGCGGCTCTGAGCATGATGCCGCAGGTTGCATTTGTTTGGAGCAACCTGCTGCCGGGGCTCTTGATGATTACAGGAGAAGGCTGCAACCCAAACAAAAGCTGCAAACGCATGCTGCCAAACCTTTGTCCAGTTGCAAACTGCGCTGCACGATCACGAGCCCAGGGGCTCTGCACACCTGCATTCTTGCAGACCGTGCACCCCAGTCCAGAAGCCGTGATTACCAGCCACGGAAAATCCGTTGACCAAGAACCAGCCCGCCGGTTCACTTTTCTGCACCATCTCTTCCATCGCTCGGATTTGAGCAGGGTCATAATGATTAATTAGGTGCATGTTGTTTCATCATTCCTTTCCCACGCAGACTACGACTACGAGTAAGATACAAAAGAAGTAGCAGTAGTAGCATTTGTGGTGGTAGTAGTAGTAGTAGTAGTAGTAGTAGTACTTGTTGTTTTTTTGGGTTAGGTTTCGGCCCCCACGGCCGCCTACTTGAGCAAAATGCTGCTTATACATATAACGACACGGCAAGTAAGACACATAACCTTTATATTAATTTGGCCAATAACTGCATATGTTTGTGGATTTGAACCCACAAGTAAGACACATAACCTTTATATTAATTTGGCCAATACTGCATATGTTTGTGGATTTGAACCCACCAAAAACATAACTTTTATAATTTTAGCGCAAACACAAACAATACCGCAATATCACTAACAGCACCCCAGTTTTGGACCTTCACCATATCGTTTTACATATCAAACGCAACATCAGCGGCATAAGTATCATACTGCAAGTAGCGAGCATGTCCAAACTCGGATCTGTCTGCAAACGAGATTCTTAGCGGGCCCCTGTGCAAGTTTCAGGGCCTCAAAAGAAACTTTTGGAGCACTCCTGTTCAAAAAGCCAGGTCCGACAACTGCGAACTGTAGGCAAACGGCACACACACAAAGAAAGGAGGTGATCCCGAGATTGGCACCCGGGCTAGTCCAAAAATGCGCTTTTATGAGCAGAACTTGATAAGCAAAAGCCAACCCCAATTTGCCAGATCACAGGAAGGCAAGGCGAAGGCCTGGAGTTTAGGCACACACAAGGAGCGGCCCTGTTTATGTGACTGCAAACGGTTCTTTAAGAGTTCCTGGTAAGGTTTTGGGGGCCCAAAATAAGGTTTAGAAGCACCCGTAGCACGCACAAAGAAAGCCGGGGACCCCGAGATTGTCACCGGCCTTCCAATTTTCCAAATAACAGAGGTTTGGAGCAGGCACACACGAAGAACGGCCCTGTGTATGGGACTGCCAACGGGTTTTTGGGAGTCCCTGGGAAGGTTTGGGGATACCAAAACAAGGTCTGTAACATTCCATGTGAACTAGGGGCCCGAAAGCTACCCAATCGTGCTAACAACCACGCCAGTGCATGGGGGGTTTGGAGCCGTGCGACGAAAACTCACTTCCAGGTGTCCTAAACCTAACAGAGCAAGGCAGTTCAAAACCGCCTGTGCTTGGGACTTTTCTGCGTGTGTGATGTAAATTCAGTTCCCGAGATCCCAAACCTGCTGCAGCACGCTAGCAACTGTGGGGGATCAGTTGGCTTCAAAGCTCCCGCTTCGTCCGAATGGACGGCGCGGGCACCTGCCCTCTCGAAAGGTTTTGGTCATCCAAAATCTCGGTTCCAGTCGGTCAAGGGACCAGGGACCCAAACAACCCCAGCGGGAGTTGAGCCCGCACAGCTTCCCCACTTGCCTCGAGAGCCGCTTGTCTGCACACTGAGCTGTGTGTAACTCTGCAGCCGGGTGGGGGGCGGCCACCTTGTGAACCAAACTGGGCAGGGTCGCGGGCTCGATCTTTGAGCCCTTTCCTGACCGAAAACCGCCCGCTAAATCCGTGCAATTATACAACAAATATACGTTAAATCCGTGCAAATCCACATTAAACCCGTGGATTGTGCTCGTGCTTGTTCGTAGTACAACTTTATAGTACTGGAAATGCCTCGTTTCGGCTCCTGGCTGGCTTGTCTGCTTGCTGGTAGCACAACTTAGTGCTGGTGGCCTGAGTTGGGGAAAGCCGATCGAGCTGAGTGGGACGAAGTCGTGGGCACGGGTGCTAGACGTGTGTTGGGTGTGGGCAAAATGGCTTGCCGAGGTGCCAAACAACCTATAGTGCGCTAGTTCACCACGCCAGTGCTTTCTTGGAGCCGGGCACGTTGGGAACCACACCGGAGCCCATTCCATGCGAACTAGGACCCCGAAAGCTACCCAATCGCGCTAACAATCACGCCAGTGCATGGGGGGTTTGGAGCCGTGCGACGAAAACTCACTTCCAGGTGTCCTAAACCTACCAGAGCAAGCCAGTTCACAACCGCCTGTGCTTGGGACTTTTCTGCGTGTGTGATGTAAATTCAGTTTCCGGGATCCCAAACCTGCTGCAGCACGCTAGAAACTGTCCAGGCGTCCCAAACCAACCAGAGCAAGCCAGTTCACAACGCCCTAAGCCCTAAACCATAAGGGTCTTGAAAGAGGCCAAGGAAGGATAAAGGGGCTTTGCATGTGGAAATGCCTCGTTTCGCTCCTGGCTGGATTGTGCTTGCTTGTATAGTACACTGGAAATGCCTCGTTTCGGCTCCTGGCTGGATTGTAGTACAACTTTAGTACTGGCAATGCCTCGATTCGGCTCTTGCCTGGATTGTGCTTGCTTGTGGTACAACTTCAGTACTGGAGATGCCTCGTTTCGGCTTTTGGCTGAATTGTGCTTTCTTGTAGTACAACTTCAGTACTGAAATTGCCTCGTTTTACAAGGGCGTGCACAAAATGACTTACCGAGGTGCCAAACAACCTACAGTGCGCCAGTTCACCACGCCAGTGCTTTCTTGGAGCCGGGCACGTTGGGAACCACACCAGAGCCCATTCCATGTGAACTAGGGGCCCGAAAGCTACCGAATCGCGCTAACAATCACGCCAGTGCATGGGGGGTTTGGAGCCGTGCGACGAAAACTCACTTCCAGGTGCCCTAAACCTAACAGAGCAAGGCAGTTCACAACCGCCTGTGCCTGGGACTTTTCTGCGTGTGTGATGTAAATTCAGTTTCCGGGATCCCAAACCTGCTGCAGCACGCTAGAAACTGTCCAGGCGTCCCAAACCTACCAGAGCAAGCCAGTTCACAACGCCCTAAGCCCTAAACCATAAGGGTCTTGAAAGAGGCCAAGGAAGGATAAAGGGGCTTTGCAAGTGGAAATGCCTCGTTTCGCTCCTGGCTGGATTGTGCTTGCTTGTAGTACACTGGAAATGCCTCGTTTCGGCTCCTGGCTGGATTGTAGTACAACTTTAGTACTGGCAATGCCTCGATTCGGCTCTTGCCTGGATTGTGCTTGCTTGTGGTACAACTTCAGTACTGGAGATGCCTCGTTTCGGCTTCTGGCTGAATTGTGCTTTCTTGTAGTACAACTTCAGTACTGAAATTGCCTCGTTTTACAAGGGCGTGCACAAAATGACTTACCGAGGTGCCAAACAACCTACAGTGCGCTGCCTCTTGGAGCCGGGCAGGTTGGGAACCACACCAGAGCCCATTCCATGTGAACTAGGGGTCCGAAAGCTACCCAATCGCGCTAACAATCACGCCAGTGCATGGGGGGTTTGGAGCCGTGCGACGAAAACTCACTTCCAGGTGTCCTAAACCCAACAGAGCAAGGCAGTTCACAACCGCCTGTGCCTGGGACTTTTCTGCGTGTGTGATGTAAATTCAGTTCCCGGGATCCCAAACCTCCTGCAGCACGCTAGCAACTGTGGGGGATCAGTTGGCTTCAAAGCTCCCGCTTCGTCCGAATGGACGGCGCGGGCACCTGCCCTCTCGAAAGGTTTTGGTCATCCAAAATCTAGGTTCCAGTTGGTCAAGGGACCAGGGACCCAAACAACCCCAGCGGGAGTTGAGCCCGCACAGCTTCCCCACTTGCCTCGAGAGCCGCTTGTCTGCACACTGAGCTGCGTGTAACTCTGCAGCCGGGTGGGGGGCGGCCACCTTGTGAACCAAACTGGGCAGGGTCGCGGGCTCGATCTTTGAGCCCTTTCCTGACCGAAAACCGCCCGCTAAA